CCGGGTGCCGGGGCTGACGGTGCGGTCCCGCAGTGCGAGCCCGGGGAGCCGTGCGCGGTGCGGCGCGGGGCGCGCATCGGGAAGCTCTGCAGCTGCCCCCGCGGCACCTCCTGCAACCTCTTCATCCTCAAGTGCTCCTGAGGGATCGGGGACACCGGGGGACACCGGGGGACACCAGCTGCCACCCGCCTGTGCCCAGCGCAGGGGAGGGGGAGCCGCGGGCCCCCAGCCCCCTCCCCGCACCGGGATGGACCTGCACAGCACCCTCGGGTGCCTGGACTGTGGGGCTGGGATGGGACACATAAAATGATTGAATTCACCCTCCTGACTGCTTTTTGCGGGGATTTTGGGGTGTCAGCCCCCCTCTGCCGCCGGGCGAGGTTCTGAGCGGGGATGGGAAGGGTGGGTCACATCCTGCTGCGGGTCCACGTGGGGCACCCACCTGAGGCTGGGGCAGGGCTGGGGGACGGGGGACACCGGGGGGATGGTGGGAAGGGTGGGTCACATCCTGCTGCGGGTCCACCCGAGGCTGGGGTGGGATGCGGGGCAGGGGAGCGGGAGTGGGAACGCTGCCAGAGCGAGGAAGGGGGGCTGAGGGTTGGGTCTGGGAGGGCTCCTATTGCAATAGCGATGATCTCTGACCCTCCGGAGGCGGAGGGATGGAGCATCCGAGGGCAGGAGGACGCGAGGGCTCAGCCGGCCCATCGCGCACCGCGCGGGGCCCATCCCTCCGCCCCACCCCGCCATTGCCCCTTTAAGACCCCGCCCCGCGCCCACCTCCGCCCCTCCCACCCGCTCCCCTTCGTCCGGCGGCCATTGGCTGGCGGTGACATCAGTGGGCGGGTCGGGGCGGCGGTGACGCAGGGGGCGCGGCCGTTAAGGGGGCGTGGCCGTTAAGCGGGCGGGGGGCGCCCGAAGATGGCGGCGGCTCCGGTGCCCGCGGCCCCTGCGGCCCCCGCTCCCGCCGCCGCTCCCGCAGCATCCCCGGGGCCGCGCGGCCGCTTCTCCCTGCTCGCCATCGTGGGCGGCGGCTGCCACCGGCCCGGCCTCAGGGCCGCCGCGCTGCAGCAGCTGGAGCGAGGTGAGACCGCGCGATGATGCTCCGGCCGCGGACCCCGTGGGGGTCCCTCCTCCCAACGTCCCTCCTCCGCAAGGGCCTCCCGGGGTTGACTCCCCCACCCCGGGCAGCCCCCTCCTGCCCCAGGCCCCCCGGGATCTGCCCCTCCCTAAAATCCCAGGATCTGCCCCTTTCCTGCCCCGGGTCCCCCGGGATCTGTCCCCCTGGAATCCCGGGATGCGCTCCCCTAAAATCCCAGGGTCTGCCGCCTTTCCTGCCCCCAGACCCCCGGATCTACCCCTCTATTTTCAAGAATCTATCCCTTTTTCTGCCCTTCAGCTCCAGGATCTGGCCCCCCCTCCCAGGCCCCCGGGATCTGCCCCCCTAAACTCCCACGATCTGCCCCCTCAAATCCCCAGAATTTGGGTCTCCAAGCTTTGCTTCCTCCCCAGCCCCAGACCCCCCAGG